TGTGTGTGTGTGCAGGGGCCCGGGCCCGCCTCTGGGAGGCCCAGAAATCGCCCCCGAGGAGCCCTCAGACAGCACTTCCGGCGGCCCCAGACGGTCTCGAGACACCCCCAAGACGCCGTCCAGGGGTCTCTGGCGACGCACGGTCCGTTTTAAACTGCCCTGGAGGCCCCAAGACGGCCCAAGAGGCCTGTTGAGATGCCGCCCAAGGAACGTGTTTTTTTGCATTCTCGCTGTTTCGTGTTTCCGGCGCTTAAGCACTGTCCAGGCTCCCAAGACCGCTCCAAGACGGCCCAAGAGACCCCCAAGAATGCCCCGAGATGGCCCAACAGAGCCCCGAGACGGCCCCAGAGCCGCCCAAGACGGCGCAAGAGGGCCCCAAGAAGGCCCCAAGAGGGGCCCACGAGAGGGAACGCGAACTGAAAAATCAAGCTCTCCGCCCCAAGATTCCCCCAAGAGGCCCCAAGAGGCCCCCAGGAGGCCCCTAAGAGGCCCCAAGAGGCCCCAAGAGGCCCCCAAGAGGCCCCAAGAGGCCCCAAGAGGCCCCCGAGAAGCTCAAAAGAGGCTCCACGAGGCCTGGAGACGGCACTCAAAAGGTTTCAAAACTCTTTCTAAGAGGCCCCCGAAGACATGCCAAGGATGTCTCATGACGACTTCAGGAAGCAGTCCAGGATGCTCCGAGGAGGCCCCAAGAGGCCCCCAAGAGAGCCCAAGAGGCCCCCAAGAGGCCCCCAAGCGGCCCCAAGCAGCATCTAGGCGGCCGGAAAGAGGCCCCCAAGAGCCCAGCGGTCCAGGCGGGGGCCGAACGGACATTTCCAGCCCTGTGCTCCCAGAAGCCCAACAGGAAGTCCCACGTAACTCGCAAGACCCCCCCCACCCCGACGCTCCCGAGACGCCCAAAAGGCTGAAAATTGCGATGCCCAGGGGTGCGTTTGGATAAGAATTCGAGATGAAGCCAGCCTTGGCAACGAAGAGCGCCTCGGACGACAGACGACGACGCAGACGACGGCGACGAGGGTGGCGACGACCTCAGATGACGGACGAAGGACGACGGACGAGTGACGCAATCGTGGCTAATTCGACCAAGTTGCCTGCCACTGCTGACCTCTCTTCTTCCCTCCGCTACGCGCTATCCTTCAAGCCAGCTAGAACTTGAGCGCGCGCGAAGCGCGCGCGATGGTTCTAGTTCCAATTTGTGAAGACTTCAATATAGTTGATCCCCCTGCGCAGTGCTCATTGTGTTTTTTAACATACATTGCTCCTCCCGGGGCTCGCTTCCTGTTTTTCATTCGGGAAAGTCTTGCTTCTCAAATTGTGCCCCTGGCCCTTGGGTCACAACAACGATTCCCGCCTGATACTTCAACACGGTGTATTGCAATATCGCGCTCTCGCGCGGGTCTTCTTGAGATCGATGCTCAGGAATCGTGATCTCGCTTTTGCTTTTTTAGCGATTTCCTTGGGAATCGCGCTATCGCTAGAGACCTCCTCGCGATCATGCAGTACTCGCGCTTCAGCAACCCGCCTGCTCGACCTGGCCGCATGGGCCCGCCTACCCGACCCGCCCATTAGGATCTACCGCTCAATCAGCCCGTGTGGTTCTGCCGCGTGTTTTATGCTCCTGGCCCCCTTCCCGCTAACCTCTCTCGTCCTCCATTCTTCTCCCTCCCCTTCCCCTGCTGTAGGGGCTGCACCACTTGCACGTGGCCGGTAAGAAGAGATACCCCAAGGGGTACGGTCGAAGACAAAGAAGGCCGGTATCTAGCAGAGGTCTTAACATGCAGTGCTAGCATGCATGTTGCTGTTGCTGTTGCTGTTGCAGTGCTTTTTTTGATTCTCTCTCTCTCTCTCTTTCTCTCTCTCTCTTTCTCTTTCCCAGCTTCTATTGTTTGTCGCAGTGTATCAATCCAGAAAAGATGCCAGACTAGTTGGCAGTGTTGCCTTGATCAGGGATGCGGAGGAGCATGCAATCTAATACAAGGCTAGGTAAGACGTCATGCCCCAAGAGGGCGAGGATGGATGAGGAATCCGAGTTGAGGAGGAGGAGGAGGAGGAGGAGGAGGATTGAAACGAATAGGAGGAGGAGGAGGAGGAGGAGGAGGAGGAAGGAGCACGGATATGCGTATGATGACGATGCTGATGCTGATGCTGATGTTGATAATGATGTTGCTGTTTATGATGATACTGCTGGTGACGATGATGAGGACGATGACGATGATGATGATGGTGATGGTGATGGTGATTACGACGAACATGATGATGCTGATGATGCTGATGATGATGCTGATGCTGCTGATGATGATGCTGATCCTGATGCTGCTGATGATGACGACGATGATGCTGATGATTCTGATGATGCTGACGATTATGATGATGCTGCTGATGATGATGATGATGATGATAATGCTGATGATGATGATGAGGATGAGGATGAGGATGAGGATGAGGATGATGATGATGATGCTGATGGTGGTGATGATGCTGATGCTGATGATGATGATGCTGCTGCTGATGCTGATGCTGATGCTGATGCTGATGATGCTGATGATGATGATGCTGATGATGATGATGATGATGATGATGATGATGATGATGATGATGATGCTGATGCTGATGCTGATGATGATGATGATGATGATGATGATGCTGATGATCATAATGAGGTGGAGGAGGACAAGGAGGAGGAGGAGGAAGAAGAGGAGGAGGAGGAGGAGGAGGAGGAGGGCGAGCAGAAATGCCAGAGGCCCCTTTGATGCCTCCCAAAATCTCTTCGGATGTCTTTCGAACGCTTTTTGGAGTCCTCTGCTTCTGGGGGGCTTCTTCGGGCCTCTTGGGGGTCTCTTGGGAGCCTCTTTGGGGCATCTTGGGGGCCTCTTGGGGCCTCCTGGGCACCTCTTGGGGTCATCTTACCCTGGGAGCCTCGGGGTCCATCTTGGGGTCATCTTGGAGGAGATCGACCAAAGGAGGGGCCGTAGTAAATTAGCGCCGCTCTCCCAGGAGGCCAACATGTGGCCAAAACCTTTGTATATTCAATGATTTTGGCCTTCTCGCCGTGGCTGTTTTGAACGCTCTAACCCCTCGCGCTCCCCCCCTCCAGACCCAGGGGGAGGGGGGAGATGGAGGGGTAAGCCCCTCCCCGAAGGGGAAGACGGGATGTTGGAAGAGGAAGCGTTCTCAACCTTTCACGCCCAGAGAGCTGGCGAAATTACGTGTGTGTGTGTGTGTGTGTGTCTCTCGTCTTGGCTTGTCTGCTTGCATAGTTGATAGTTATCTGTATCGGTATCCTCATCCTCCTCCCTCCTCGGTACTTCAGCTGTTGACTTCGTCTTCAGCTGCGGGTGCACTTCGAAGCGCTTTCGGGCCAGCTCACTTAAGTTGGTTTTCCGCTCGCACGGGTGTCTCACTCCCCCCTTCCCTCCACTTCCTCCTCGCAGCTGGTCCACCGCTCGGCCAGACTCCAGATCGGCAGTCCGTTCCCCAGAGCAGGGCCCCCGTGGGGCCCGAATCCTCAACCCCCGCCCCCGGCCTGTCCGTTCTCGGGGTGCTCGTGGATGAGACCGACGGGGCAGTCCCGGGGAAGCGGGTGAGCGGTGAGCGTCAAATGTGGAAGCGGCAAGAGCATGCGGAGATGGTCAGTGTGCAGAACGCGGGAACGAGGGCAACGGGAAGCGGCGTTTGGAGAGCGACGGTCAGATGCGTCGAGCGTTTTTGGAGCTCCTGAGGGTTTCGTGCAAGCGAAGCCTCGCTGAGAGCGGTCTGAGGGCTCTGGGGAGGATCGTGTGAGTTGACGGCTCTTGAGGGGGTGCCAGTGCGAATTGAGAGCCCTCGGAGTGTCGAGTGTCATGCCGATGTCCAGGGTGTTGCCCCTCTGGTGACGCTTTATAAGCCATGACATGCGTTGGCCGCTACTTGTAGCCGAAGAAATTGAGAGGGTTGACATTGATACATGGTACCGTCGTGATGCACCCCCGCGGCTTTAACTGCTTTGCACGAGCGAGGCGGAATAGCAATTCGGTGCAAAGCAATTCGCTCGAATCGTGCCACTGTGGGGCGAGGAGATGCAACGAGTGTCGGCGCGATCTCAAGGCAGCAGCAAGGCAGGCAGGCCAATGCATCGCAGAAGAGTCTGTAGTTCCGTCGTCGGAAGCGTGCAGGGAAGGGCAGTGGCGTGTGCCTGGAGGTGCACAGGAGGGGACGGTCTTGGACGCGTGTGAGCGCGGGCCTAGGTGCTGCCGCGAGCGGATGGCGCGGACCGCCACCGAGCTGACCATCACCATCCCTGGTCGTTTGGGGGGGATCGCCCGTTGCCTGCTCGGACGGAACCTGTTGTGGCTGATTCCCGCAGCGGGCGATGCTGCTCTCTTTCGCCATGTTGGCCGTCGTTGGTGTCGAGTTCTGGACGCTGCGCGCATCCATCTGCCGAGGCAAGCCGCCGCGAGACGGGGAGGGGTGGTAGTGGGACAGCGGGGGATGACACCAGTCAACGCAGAGGAGGTGTCAGCTCAGGTTGGTCATCGCCACAGCGTGGCTACGTTGGTATTGGCTTATCGTGCTTTGCCTTGCTCTGCTCGTAGCTTTGCTTGGCCGAGCTTGTCTTGGCTTAAGGCAGCTCCATCTCAGCTGGGCTTACCTGAGGTGCGTTTGGGTCACGTCTGACAATGTGCGCCTTCTGCGGCCAGCCCCCAAGGCTGATTCATCCTGTGGCGAGATGGGGACAGTGCTGGGGCCTTCTCGGGCTATCTGGGGGTCTCTTTGGGGCATATTGGGGCCCATTGAGCTACCTTTCTGGGATCTACTGAGCATTATTGTGGCTATCTCGGGGCCTGGGGCCCATCTTGAGTGCCTCCTGAGGGCATCCCGCGGAGCATTGTTGGACAAGCCTGCGTGATCTTGGCGGCATCTAGCCATTTGGCTCAGGCCAAGTGAGGGGTGTGAACCGTTCATCTGAGAGGGTGTTGAATCCGCAATCTGTCACTCCTTAGGGATCCCCTGTCACTTCTTTAACGATGGGCTCTGGTGCTTCTAAAGGGATTGCAGCCGCGGTGGCTGCTGCGCCAAGCGACGATCTCAAGGCAGCCTTCTCGAGCATGAGCCAGCAGGATAAGGACAAACTGATAGCCGCACTGAGCGAGAAGTCCGACCCAGTCTTCGGGTTTTCCTCCGGCCTTCCCAATTGCTGCGCCTCCAACCCCGAGTCTTACAAGGTGGTGGCCGAAATCCCGAACGCCCGTCTCGTGGAGATGAAGATGGCGGCGGGCGCCGAGGACGCCACGCACGAACACCCGGCGCACTCCATGTACTTCGTCACCCCGGCCAAGCTCTGCATCACGGACTACCCAGACGGCAAGACGCCCGGGGAGCCGCACATCGTGGAGATTCCGGCCGGGGCCGCGCCCATCTTCCCGGCCGGCGCTCACCAGGTCAAGAACGTCGGTGATCAGGAGCTCAGTTGACTGAAACGACGGTGGGGGACGTTTTTTTCTCCCCACCACCCTGTGTCGAGTTGGGTCCTCGTTTTGAGTCAGCAGCGCTGGGCCGACTCCCTCCTGCCCTCCTCCTCGCCCTCCTCCCATCCTCCCTCCTTCCCCCACTTTGGCACACACCTCACACGTTTCGTAGCTCGCAGCCCCATGGGGAGCTCCACTAAGGCCCCAGTGGTTGCGCTCGCATGCCGCTGCGTTCGCATGCCGCCGCCACCCCACTTTGGCGCACCCCTCAAGCGTTTCGTGGCCCCATAGGGAGCTCCGCCGAAGGTCCCAGTGGCTGCGTTCGCATGCCGCCGCCACCCCACTTTGGCGGACCCCTCGCACGCTTCGTGGCCCCAGCGGGAGCTCCGCCGAAGGCCGCAGTGGCAGGAACTGCAGGCGTGGCCTCCTGTGTCGTTGCACCCTTCCCACGTGGCCCCACACGGAGTTCGACCCAAGGCCTCATTGACAGGAATCGCATGCGTGACGGCACCCATTGCGGCACACCCCTCGCACGCTTCGTGGCCCCACAGGGAGCTCCGCTGAAGGCCTCAGTGGCGGGGATCGCATGTGTGACTGCGCCTATGTGGGTGCACCCCCCGCACGTCTCGCGGCCCCCTAAAGGGAGCTCCACCGAATGCCCCATCGCCGTGAATCGCATGCGCGGCCGCGCCCATTTTGAAACATCCCTCGCACGTTTCGTGGTCCCATAGCCCTGCTGCTGGCCCAGACCACGCTCTGCTGCTCCGCAGGGCTGTGCCGACATACACTCAGATCAGTCGTGACGGGTTACATCTAGATGTAGACTGTTGCGGCTGACCCTTGCGACCCCATCGGCAACGTCGCTCCGTCCTTCTCACGCGCGCTTGAGTTCTTATATTAACCACATCCCTGCGTTGTGTGGAGAACGACCAACGGAGAGGATGCATGTTGCCATATTATTCCCAATTGTTAGAACATGTTAACGTTGTTTCAAACTTTGCTTGGCGAAGGACCCAAGCATATGCAGTTGTGAGTAGCGTAGTTGTGAGTATTGTGTGCGGTGGAGTTCCCAAGGGGGCCACGAAGCGTGTGAGGAGTGTGCCGACATCGGAGCTGCAGGCGCGTGGGAACGCAGCCATTGGGGCCTTTGGCGGAGCTCCCTACGGGGCCACGAAGCGTGCGAGGGGTGTGCCGAAATTGGTGCGGCGGGCGCGTGCGAACGCAGCCATTGCGGCCTTCGGTGGAGCTCCCTATGGGGCCACGAAGCGTGTGATGGGGTGTGCCGACATGGGTGCGGCGGGCGCATGCGATCGCAGCCACTGGGGCCTTCGGTGGGGCTTCCTATGGGGCCACGAATCGTGTGAGGAGTGTGCCGAAAAGGGTGCGGTGGGCGCATGCGAACGCAGCCACTGCGGCCCTCGGTAGGGCTCCCTGTAGGGCCACGAAGCGTGTGATGGGGTGTGCCGACATGGGTGCGGTGGGCGCATTCGAATTCAGCCACTGCGGCATTCGGTGGAGCTCAGGAGCTCTCTATACGGCCACGAAACTTGTGATGGGGTGTGCCGAAATCGGTGCGGCGGGCGCATGCGAACGCAGCCTTTAGGGTCTTCGGTGGAGCTCCCTAAAAGGGCCACGAAGCGTGTGAGGGCTGTGCCGAAAAGGGTGCGGCGGGTCCATGCGAATGCAGCCATTGTGGCCTTCGGTTGAGCTCCCTATATGGAGACTGGCTGATACATCCGATGGCGACTCATCCGCTCCGACTCATCCGATCCCCGGTTCGGGTGAGCCCATACCAGATGAATTAGACCGGATGAATTTGTCACCGGATGAGATGGGTTAGTCAACGGATGAGTTAGTCGGGATGAATTTGGCATTGGATGAATAAGCACCGGATGAGGTAGGCACCGGATGAGCCAGGCATCAGATGAGGTAGGAGTCGTATGAATGAGTACCAGATGAATTAGGTACTGAATGAGCTTCGCACCGGATGAGTTTGGCACCGGATGAGTTTGGCACCTCATGAGTTTGTCACCGGATGAATTTCGCACCCGATGAGTTTAGCACCGGATGAGTTTGGCATTGGAGTCTGGCAACGGATGGGTTACGCCAGGGTGAGTTTAGTTAGGCACTGGATGACTTAGTTTCCCGAGGCCATTCTGGAGTGTTTCCTGCGCTCATCCTGGGGCAGAAGGGGGTTAGAATTGGTTTGACGATCTGTAGTCAAGCAAATTGTGAGTTGTTTTGATTTTTTTTGGATGTCTTTGAAGCTGACGTTGGGAGCTCGCTGCTTCCTGAGGCTATTCTGGAGGGATTATTGGGGGTATCCTGTGGTAGCAGGGGGGATATGAATGTGCTTATGGTCAAGCAAAGTTTGACTTACCTGTCAGTTATTCTTGGATGCCTTTTGAAGCTGACGTTGGGAGCTCGCTGCTTACTGAGGCTATTCTGGAGGGCTTCTTGGGGGTATCCTGGGGCAGCAGGGGCGCCAGAATTTGCTTGACTTCAAGACGGTTTGTAGTCAGTCAAAGTTTGAGCTATCTTTGAGATGTTGTTGGGTGCCTCTGAAGCCGACGTTTTGGGCTCCCAAGGCTATCCTGGAGGGTTTCTTGGGGATCTCCAGGGGCAGAGGGGTTGCCAGAATTTGCTTGACTACAAAACGGTTTGTACTCAAGCAGATTGTGAGTTACTTTTGAGTTATTGTTGGATGTCCTTGAAGCCGACATTGGGAGCTCGCTGCTTGCCGAGGCTATTCGGGAGGGCTTCTTCGGGGTATCCTGGGGCAGAGGGTTCGTAGTCAAGCAAATTCATGAGTTATTTTTGGATGTCTTTGAAGCCGTCTTTGGGAGCTCGCTGTTTCCCGAGGCTTTTCTTTTGGGCTTCTTGGGGGTATCCTGGGGCAGATGGGTGGCCAGAATTTGCTTGACTACAAAACGGTTTGTAATCAAGCATATCCGGGCATGTCCATGAAGGTGCCAGATGCGTTTGGTCGGATGAGTTCAGGCCACCCGATGAGTGACGGACCGGATGAAGCTGGCACCGGATGAGTTTTGGTACCAGGTGAGTTAGGGCAGCGGATGAGTAAGTGCACTGGGTGAGATTGGCACCAGATGAGTTTGGCACCAGATGAGCTTGGCTTTGGATGAGTTACGCACCTGATTTGCTTGGTTTGGGATGAGTTTGGTTTTGGGTGAGTCTGGCACTGGATGTGTTTGGCACCCTATGAGTTAGGCCTGGGCAAGTTTAATCAGGCACCTGATGAGTTAGTTTCCCGAGGCCATTCTGGAGGGGTATCTTGGGGCAGACGGCGGGTGCAGAATTTGTTTGACTACAAAACTGTCTGTAGTCAAGCAAGTTGTGCGTTGTTTTTGAAATATTTGGATCTCTTTGAAGCCGACGTTTGGAGCTCGCTGCTTCCCGAGGCTATTCTGCAGGCTTCGGAGCATCCTTGGGCAGATGGGGGTTAGAATTTGTTTGACTACAACACGGTTTCTAGTCAAGCAAGTTGTGACATATTCTTGAATTCTTTTTGGATGCCTTTTGACGCCAATGGGTTGTAGTAAAGCAAATGTTGAGTTACTTTTGAGTCATTGTTGGACGTCTTCGAAGCCGACATTGGGGGTTCGCTGCTTCCCGACGCCCTTCTGGAGGGCTTCTTGGGGGTATCCTGGGGCACAAGTGGTTGAGAAGTCGCTTGACTACACAACGGTTTGTAGTCGAACAAATTTTGAGTTACTTTTGAATTTCTTTTGAGTTATTGTTGGATGTCTTTGAAGCCGACGTCGGGGTCTCCCGAGGCTCGTCAGGAGGGTTTCTTTGGGGTATCCTGGGGCAGATGGTTGGCCAGAATTCGCTTGACTACACAACGGTTTGTAGTGAAACAAGTTGTGAGTTGTTGTTTGAATTATTGTTGGATGTCGTTGAAGCTGACTTTGGGGGCTTGCTGCTTCCCGAGGCTATTCTGGAGGGTTTCTTGGGGGCATCCTGGGGCAGATGGGGGGTCTGGCATTGCTTGACTACACAACGTCTTGTAGTCGAGCAAGTTGAGTTATTTTTGGATGCCTTTGAAGCCGACGTTGGCGAGGCTCCTCTGGAGAGCTTCTTATGGGCATCCTGGGGCAGCAGGGTGGCAATTTGCTTGACTACACAGCGGATCGTAGTCCAGCATATCCGCGCATGTCCATCAAGGTACCAGATGTGTTAGATTGGATGAGTTTAGGGCACCCGATGAGTGACGGACCAGATGAAGCCGGCACGGATGAGTTCTGGTACCAGGTGAGCTAGGGCAGCGGATGAGTAAGGGCACCTGATGAGGTTGGCACTGGATGAGTTTGGCATTGGATGAGTCTGGCACTGGGTCGAATCCGCATCAGATGATTTTGTTTTTGGATGAGCTTCGCACAAGATGAGTTTGGCTTTGGATGAGCTTGTCACCAGATGAGTTTGGCACCCGTATGAGTTAGGCTTGGGTAAGTTTAGTGAGACACCAGATGAGTTAGTTCCCCGAGGTTATTCTTGAGGGTTTCTTGGGCGTATGCTGGGGCAGACGGGGGTGTAGAATTTGTTTGATTACAAGACGATCTGTAGTGCAGCAAGCTGTGAGTTTTTTTTTTTTTTTGTTTTTTTTTTTTTTGATACTTTTGGATGTCTTTGAAGCCGACGTTGGGAGCTCGCTGCTTCCTGCGGCTATTCTGGACGGTTTTTGGGGGTACCCTGGGGTAGCAGGGAGGGTGAGAATGTGCTTGCAGTCAAGCAAAATTTGAGCTACCTTTCAGTTACTCTTTGATGTCTTTGAAGCCGACGTTGGGAGCTCGCTGCTTCCCGAGGCTATTCTGGAGGGCTTCTTGGGCGTATCCTGGGGCAGACGGGGGGCTCGATTTTTTTGGACTACAAGACGATCTGTAGATAAGCAAGTTGTGAGTTGTTCTTTAAATTACTTTCGGATGTCTTTGAAGCCGACGTTGGGAGCTCGCTGCTTCCGGAGGCTATTCGGGAGG